CACACACACACACACACACACACACACACACACACACACACGCTCTCCATGGGGTTTTCCAGGGAAGCCATTGCCAGGACTTTCTTCTGAGGCTCTTCTGGGTAGACTCCAACCTCCAACCTTTCCGTAGCAGCCAAGCACCTTAGTCATTTGCACCACCTGGGGACCTTACCATGCGTCCACTCGGGCTCTTTCCAGGTAAGGCTTCCTTAGCTGAGTGGCCTAAAGGGAATGATTTCAGCCGGGAGGAGGCACCGAGGAATAGCTGAGTTCCATAGCAGCTGTTCTTCAGGGAGCTCTCAGAGACCTTTCTGTGCTGCAGTCAGCAGGCCCCTCTCTCTCTCCTCCACCACCAGCCCACACCTGACTGACCTTGTACAGTGTGGCTTCCTTCAGATGTTTCACTGCCTGGCGCAGGAAGGCCCAGTGGGGTCTCTTCAGAAGCGGGAGGTCTCGCGAAGAACCTTTGGTCGTCTAACCTGTATGGTTTCCCATCTGATTTCTTTTCCTTTCCACTCAGAGCCTCTCTGTCCTGGGCTAGAGCCCCAGAGTCCGTGCTCTTGAGATACATGTGTGAACCACATCTGAATAGGACAACAGTGGACAAGGGCTGTAGCAAACGCCTGGCTCACTGCGTAGTCTCTGATTAGACTGTACAGCTGGCCCAGGGACAGCGCGGTTCTAGCGTGGTGCACGAGTCTCTGCTGTGCCAGGACAGACATGCAGCCCCGGTGTGGGGTGCGAGCTAGTGGTGGGGTCTGCCTTGGGCCTGGGGATGGGGTCTCGGCCACCCCTTTCCTTCGTTGGGGCTGATCTATTCATGGGGAAGGGTTAGTTTCTCCATTGCTCCTACAAACCCCTCGACACAGAATCTTTGCTGGCATCATCTAACCCGACGGTGGGGATTCAGTGACGCAGAAAGAAAGGAGCGCCCCAGTGCCCGGGAACAGGGGGTGTTGTGAGTCAAGGGGTTCGTGCTTTCAGAGGACACCTGCGGCGTGCCTTGTATGTGCTGTCACTGGGTGTATGGAGATGAAAATGACGTAATTCCTGCTCCCCAAGGAGCCCGGGACCCGGTGGGAGCTGAGAAACCCCAACTGGTGCCGGCTGGGCTGGGTCACATGGAGCCGGGGAACCTGGGTCCTACCTCCCCTGCTCAGTGCTGTGCTTGGAAGGCTTGTTCTGCAGCTTAGCTGCAAATGTCAGGGTTTTTTGGGGGGTGAGGGTGGGGCGGCGTGAGCACAGCCGAGTCAAGGGTCAAAGGCGCGGGGCAGGTGTGGGGTGGAGGCGGCTGGCTCTGGTTTCCAAACACCCAGGCCTGTGGCTTCCAAGAAGGCTTTGGTTCTCACCCAGCCCCAGCTTCATTTTGTGTTCAGGGTCCCAGCCCCCCAGGGTGCCGCTGGGGAGACCCCAGCACGGTCCCCCGGCAGAGTGGGCCCTTGGTCTGTGGTGGCAGTTGAGCTGTTGTTAGGGGCCGTCCAGCAGACTCTGACTGCATCCGCTCCGTGAGGGAGAGCAGGGCTTCTCCAGAGGGCTGTCTAGCTGTCATTTTGGTGAGAACAGATCCCTCCGCCTTTGCTGCTGCAGAACCACTGGGTGGGTTGGAACGCCAGCCTTTCGGCGAGCAGCTGAGCCTGGAACCATTGGGCCGCCAGGATCTCTGGTTGTTGAGATGGGGTCCATCACCGACTGCCGTTTGCATGGCCTCCATAGTCCCCGGAGGCTCCCAGAGTCCCTAGCACAGGACTGCAGCAAGCTGCTGTGGGATACCATCCTAGAATCTGGCCTTGCCAGAATCGGGGAATGTATGGGTGCTGGGCAGCTCTCCCACTAGGTCTTCTCTGCTCAGGCCACGAGCCCTTGCTTCCTGGGTCCTGTACCGTCCTCTCTGCTCTGGCGAAGGCCATGCCAAGGACAGGCCTCACTTTAGGCCTGCTTGGCCGGGCCTTGGAATAAGGCAAGACCTCTCTGGGGGCACCAACATGCCCTGACGGTGCCGGCAGACATGCAGGAGATGGAAAAACTTTGCTCAGTTGGCTCTGAGGGCGCTGTGAGGCCAGGGAGGGGCTGTTGAGTCATCAATGGGAAAATGAGACGGGGCAAGTCCTAGCTGAGCAACTGGGAACTGAAGGAAGGCCAGAGTGGGGAGGGGCCAAGGGCGAAGGGCTGGGCTCGCTCTGGTCAGGCAGGGTGAGCTGGGGCTGGGGCCGGGAGCTGAGGCTTTGGCAAGGGTGGGCCTGCTTCAAGGTTGAGCACAGGGACAGTGGTGTGGGGAGAGCCAGAGTCCAGGGTCCATGGTTGGAGCTGCAGCAGGGAGACGTGAGTGTCAAGAGTCGAAGCTCCAACCCCGGCTTTTTCCAGAATTGGGGGTGTATAGGTGCATTGGGCGGCCAGCCCCACCAGGACCAGATCCAGATAGTGAGTCTGACTGTGTGTCAGGCTGCTGGGAAGCTGCCCAGTGAGCCCCCGTTTGGCCTCCTCCATCTTCCCTGCCCCAGTCTGCCCACCGCAGTCCACCAGAGTGGAGAGTTCTGCCCAGAATGCAGTTCGTTCTGCTTAAAACCTCCAGGGGCTTCCACCCCCTGCCATGGGAGGACATACAAGCTCCTTCATCAGGGGTGTAGTATCTCTTTGCACGCCCCAGGGCCCCGCTATAAAACAGTGCCCTTCTAGGACCGGCAAAGCTGCCTCCCACTGCTGGGTCTTTGCAACCCTTCCCTCGGCCTCCGGCAAACTCTTATACATCCTTGACCTGATGGCTGGGCTCTCCTGCCACTGCCTCGAAGAGGCGAAGCGTCGTGTCCGTCTGCTCTGCCTACAGGTGAGCTACTGCCCTTTCTGTGCCGCCCTAGCGCCCCATGAGTCACGCTGAAGTCGCGCTTGCTGCCGTACATGTCTGCTTCACTAGATAGTCAGTTCCCGGGCTTGTTATCGCATCTGCCCGGTGCCTGGGAGTATCTGGTATGCAGAAGGGTCAGAATAGTAACCATGGCAGATGGTATTGATCGCGCTCACTCTGTGGCAATTATTGATCCAAGCACTTTCCAATCGTTCAATTGCCGAGTGCGCCGGAAACCCTGTGAAGTAGGCGTTATGGTTAGGACTTCCATACTTTAAGGAAGTGAGGACCGGGGAGGTTAAAACATTTGTAGAGAGTCACACAGCTGTGAGTCATTGGTAGAGTCCGGATTTAGTCTGTGGGAATCTGTGCTGGTGCTTTTTAATATAATATCAAATAGGTTGATTCTGAATGAATGAGAGGGAGTGAATGAATGCACCCACCGGGAGGAAAGACACTCAGAGGTGCGGCATGTGAGGGATTCAGCCCTGTGGTGCAGGGGACTAGGCTGGGGCAGAGAAGGCAGCAGTCATGGGTCTGCAAGCGAGAATGCTTCAGGAAGAAGGCGATGGAGTCAGACCCTAAAACAAGGCTGGAGTCTACAGGAAAGATCCCCAGAGTGCGGCCTGGGGTCTGGGAGGATCTGTGGAGGCCCAAGGGAGCACGGCCCAGGTGGGCATGGCCTGGGAGGATGGAGGGGCGGGGCAGAGAGCACTCCAGGAAGTGGTTGCTGTTCCAGGCTGTCATCTTGGTGAGATGCAGGCAAGCCCCAAATGCCATGTGTCTCAGGACCTGGGTGCAGCAGCCCCACCCTGCAGGGACAAGGGCTGAGGACTCAGCCGAGGTAACCCCATGTGGCCCACAGCTTGAGATCCCCTGGTTTTAGTGTGGAAAATCCTGCATCCTGAGAAAATGTCTCAGTTCCAGGAAAACAGGATGGCTGGTCAATTTACCCACTGTCCCTGGGACAGAAAGCCTCCAATCCCCTGTCCTCCCAATCTTACCAGTCAACTCCACCCACGGCAGCGGGCCCCAGTGACAGGCAGGTCCCTGGCAGAGCCCAAGCCTGTGGGCCAGGAGGACCACAGAGCACTCTCAGGCACCCTGAGAGTTTTTCTCCAGCTTCAGGTGGAAGATGAGAGAAGCAAGAAAAGCCAGGTGTCCTCAATCAGCTCGGCCTCTGGGACCCCAACTGCGATTCATTTCACCTCAACCTCAGGGCTGTGTTGACCAGCTAATTGCTAATAAGAGGCCCACCAATGCAGACTGGCCTCAGGGAACAACCAAGCCAGCAGAGTCCAAAGAGGGGTCTGTAAGGTGGGAGCAGAGCTGCAGTAGGGGTGGGGGGGATGCAGGGAGCAGTGGAAGTGGGCCTTTTGGAGAGAGGCTAGGAGTCTATCAGAAAGAGGACCCAGGTGTTCCAGCTAGAAGAAACTGCCTGTGCGGCGGTGCCAGGCGTGGGTAACGTGAGGCAGGACAGGAGACTCACGTTTGCCCACTACCTGGGGGGAGGGCGGTGGACAAC